ATAGTAAACACCTCCCAGGAGTGAACCTTTCATATACAAACCAACCAATCCAGAGCCCCTACCCTCAACCACCTCCTTTATCAAGCTCCTCCTCTCAGGGACACTATCCCCCTGCCCCACTTACCCTAGGGCCAGGTATCAGGAGACTTGGGGTGGTTCCTGTTCCTCAGAACCTGTGGAAATTGTCCAAACTAGCCCATCCTAACTGCCTACCCTGCTTGTCTTTCTCGCAGAAACTTCAATAAAGGTTCCTGCCCACGTTTCCCTCTCACTCCCTCTGCCCTCTGCCCGATTTGGTGCTTCTTCCACACGGCCTGTGTGGTGTACCCTGCCTCCTGTTTCTAGGGACCCGTGAATATAACTTCCTCCTTCATGACAGTTATTCTGTGTCTGCATATCTCAGCATACTTGATTAAAACAAATCCCAGGTACATTTAAAACACAGTGTTAAAGCCTTTTCGAGATATAGTGTCCTCAGTATGATGATTTTACATATATGTACACCATCATCATTGTCATTGCTCACATTCAATAAGTTTACTATGGTCCAAGCATTGTGCTAGGTACTTTGGGGTATTTAATCCCTCAAAGTAGATGCTTTTATTACTCCCACTTTACAGATGAAGAAACTGAGGTGTAAACAGGTTAACTCACCCAAGTTGGAAGTAGGATTTAAACTCAATTCTGCTTAACAAAGCCATTATTCTTAACAGAAGGTCAGCGCACATTTTTTGCAAAAGGCCAGATAGCAAATATTTCAGGCCTTGTTGGACTTATGATCTCTGTTGCACCCACTCATCTCTGCTGCTGCTGCTGTAGTGCAAACACAGCCAAATATGATGCATAAATTAACGGGCATGACCCTGTTCTGATAAAACTTTATTTGTAAAAATAGGTGGGGGGCTGGGATTTTGTACGTGTGTCAGTTTGGCTGCCCCTGCTCTTAACCACTTGGCTTCACTGTCTCCGTGATGGCAAAGACTCTGATTAAAACTGAACATTCTTCTCCTCTCCCACTTCATAACGGTGCTCATCAGAGGCAAGTCACTAGACCACTCTGGGCCTCGATCCCTCCTTTAATTCTTCACTGTGAACTTCAATCCCTTAGATCTTGGTGGGAAGAGGAACTTGACCTATGCTGTAGCTCTGAACTTTATAATTCTGGATTTTCAAGAACTGAGCTCAGCCACAAGGAGTTGTGTACCATCATAGAAAAGGATAGAGTATGTCAACGTCCATAAGGTGGCTCCATCTGTCTAAAGGAGACATTCAGATGAAAATTGTAAAAGAGCCTTCTCTTCTTTTGTCTCCAAAGCAGTACACTAAGTGGTCTACCATGCTGTAGCCAATGGGTGGACAAGTCAGATATTCTGTTTAGGGGAACAAGCATGCTTACTGAATTTTAGTATGCATCAGGCCATCAGGCACAATGCAAGGCATGTGAAAACCCTTATTTCACCCACAATATCCCTATAGAGGTAGGTATGGTAGTTTAGGGGTAAAGGAGGAGAACTGAGACAATGTCTATATCCAGAGGACTGCAAGCAAGGGCCTCTCTGGACAATGCCTCATTTGGGAACCTGGCAGATCCAGAAACTAGCTATCATTAGTATGTCCAGTGATGACAAATTCAATTACTAAATGAATAGGCCATCTGTTCTGACACATTGGCCAGAGTATCAATGTATTTATTTGTCTGGAAGTATTCATACCTAATGTGCAGTTGGTTCAATGAACATTTCTTGAACACCTCGTATGTGCTAAGGCCATGGGAACAAAGATATAGAAGAGAACATAGTCTTTGCACTGAAAGAACTTTCAGAGTGTCACTGCATGACGCTGAGGGATATGAGTGCTGGGGGAGATGGTGAGTCAGGGACAATCTGAAAGTGAGTCACACCCCAGTACAGACCTACCTGCTGGGGCACACTCATCTGGAGCCTACCTATGGGATAGACAGAGGACACTGAACTGGCTGCCCAGGAGATCTATAGCCTTTCCTCTGCTCCATCTTCTTAGGAGACATTGAACACTAATGATAATGGCTCGTATATCTTGATGCACATGGCACTGTTTGCTAAGTACCTTACATACATGGCCTGGCAAACCAAATCTGCATTCTTGAGTGTGATAGTGTAGGCCTCCTATGATCGAGCCCCAATACTACATGCTAGCTTTTTCTGCTCTGTAGGTACCCTACCCTGCAGCCGTACTGCATTGCTCTCCATTAATTTCACATTCCAGCTTTAGCTGATACGATACCTTCCACCTGGATTGCCTTACCTGATTCAGTCTGTCATTAAGATGGTCTTCTTTCCATGCCCAGCTCACATACTCACTCTTCCTCGAAAATTTTCCTTGACAGGGATCTCTCTTCCGAACACCTGTAAAACTTTGTATCTCACTCAATGGCACTTAAATCTCTTAAAAAATAAAATCAACACTCTTCGTTCTGATTATAAAAGTAAAACGCTGCTCAATGGAAATGACTCAAACAAGAATGGTGAAATTTTGGCAAAAACATCACACTCCTCTCATTTTAAGTTCCTCAAAGACAAGACTGCATTTAATTCATCTTTATATCCCCTGGAATCTGCCCACTTTAGCACCAGATTGTCTACTCCAGCCTTCATTCACAGTAAGAATTACGTAAGTATTTATTTATTTGAATGAATGAATTATACTTAGGACTTTTATTGCTAAACCTAGAGCTGATTTTAAAAATTTATATGAGGTTTATGATTAATGATGCTATTAACATGTCTTTACTTCTAATATTATAATACCTTTTCTCTAAAAAATTACTGATACAATTATTTTGTTGCCAGATTAATGCAACGTCTGTACTTTCTTGGAGTGTCGGCCAAATCCATCTCTGATCATTTGTTATTACTGGAAATTCTATTGCCTCTATCTTCAGACCACTTTAGAGATGAATTACTTAATTCATGCTGAGAACATTTCATTACTTCAGGTTGTTCACCTTTCAAAGTTCCTCAGGTATCTGCAAGAATTTGTAGTTAAAATATTCCAGGGTTGTAGGTCTTAACTTCGTTGCAAATTGACTACACATTTTTATCGTTAAATCATAAGCATCAGGTGACTTTCACATTTCTGCTGAAGGCATGTTTCTTATTAGGCTAAAGCTGTTCAGTCTGTACAATTAATGGTTCATAGCACACTAAGGAACATTTATTAATTTTCATTTTACTTGTTTTTTTGAAGGTTACTTGTTTTTTTTTGAAGGGGGTTAAGGGTTCTAAGATGGACTTATTGAAATTTTAAAAGGTGTAAATAGGTAAATATTATGGTCCTTGAAAAAGCGAGACATTTTCCCCTTTAAGCATGTGATTAATATTACTAATAAAAATGTCATCAGCCTTCCCTGCCAGGGTGATGCAGTTAGAAAGACATTTCGTATGTACGCGTGTGGTTTGCTTTCCATATCTAATATGACATTTTGAGAGACAACTTAATGTAAGAAAATTACTTTTAAAAATAGATTCTTGATGCTTTGTTGTTCTTATTCAATAATACTAAAGGAAAATTGTATCTTCCTGTACATTTACTTAAGATTTTGCCTGACTACATTTGGTAGCTTATATCAGTGTTTGAGACATAAGAATTTTGTCTCTCTTATCAGATCATGTAACATGAATACCATTCTTGTTGAAGTTTGAGTTTCTGGAAAGCAGGCCTCCTTCCTATGCTTTTGTGGATAGATCATTTATCTTATACTTAAATTTGGTTTCATTCATAAGCTAGTTTCTTAAATTATTTCTTATGCTACTATTCATAGTATATGGCATTGGTTATATATAGCAAACTAATTTTGGCATAGATCAAGCAGTACTTTTTAAACAGCCATATTGAGATATAATTGGCATACCATTATAGTTCACACATTTAACAAGCATAATTCAGCACAATTCAGTGGTTTTTAGTCTATTCACAGGGTTGTGTAATCATCACAACCGTCTAATTTTAAAACATTTTTGTCACCCCCAAGAGAACTCCCACACCCATTAGCAGTTACTTCCCACCAGCCCTAAGCAACGACTAACCTACATATCTTTTTTTGAGACAGGGTCTCGCTCTGTTGCCCAGGCTGAAGTGCAGTGACGTGATCTCAGTTCACTGCAACCTCTGCCTCCTGGGTTCAAGGTATCCTCCTGCCTCAGCCTCACTAGTAGCTGGGACTACAGGTGCACACCACCACACACAGCTAATTCTACTTTCTATCTTCATAGATTAAGCAACATTTTAGCAACACATCTTAATTATCTCAAAGTTTTGGTGATTTCATGACCTTATTAAAACTAATATATTCAACATAATATTCGGGTATATGACATTTTTTATCTTTGTACAATTTTTATCTTTAAAATGGAGCATCTGGTTTATCACAATTTCAGATCCATAGTTTAATGGCAGGAGTGTTAGGTTTGCCTGTGCTGTCCTTCTGCTTGGTTGGTACTTTAAGAGCTTTACATTTGCATCTACAAAAATGCAGAAATGTTAAGTTAGAAATATGGTGAATATTTGAATGGTTAGCACGAAACATACTCACAGCAGAACAGCTGAGGCAACTGTATCGTCCTTCCTTTTTATTCTTCAGTTTCTTCTCACTGCCTCCCAACACATAAACACACACACAGACACATACACACTCACACACTCACATTCACACACACACTCACACACACATAGTAGTCAAGGTCACATTTAGTGAGCAGAATATATCCAGTGACAACAAGAAGTAGCAATACATGTCTAGTATTGATATATTATTATGCAGACTGTAAAAATAACATGTGCTGTGTATTTTGATTACATACACATATGGCTTATTTTTAAATCATAGTGGGAGTTACGGAATGTTCTCGAGAGGTTAGAAGTGCTAAAGCAGAAAGCAAAACTATATAAAATAGTATTCTAGGTAGATGTTTGATTCTACTGATTTTACTCATGACATTATCAGAAAACCTGGAGATCATCCATCTAGCTAATCATTTGTTCCACACGTATTTATTGATTAATGACAACATAAAGGGCATAGTACAAGACCCAATAACAATAAACAGCTAGAATTCAGCTTCCTCGGGAACTGCTGTCCAACTTCAGCATATAAGAGTGGTCTTTCTTCTCACAAGGAAAGAGCTCAGTGAATCATGAATCTTTTACTTTTTCTTGAAAAACCAAAGCCTATATTTCGCAGGAAAATTCAACATAATTGGTATATACCCATCTTTTTAGGTGAATTAGGCCTTAACTGACAGATAACCCACTTTGTTCTAAAATTCAACAAACTCTTGGAAAATCTTATTCCACACAATCTTTTGAATATGTCATTTGCCATTTATATTTGATGGCCTTAAGAAAAAAACTTAAAAAAAGGTATTAATGCAAGTAGATAATAAAGCTGCATTCTATAAATCTATAGCAGCTTACAGTAATCATTAAAGCTTGCAAAAGCCTTTCATCTATTCAAAAATATGCAGTGCACAGAATGTCTGCTAAGGTGCATGACAAGTCAGAGTTAAATATATATTAATAAATGAATTAGCTTCATAAATAATAGCCATAATGACATTTTAGGAGACAATAAGTCTGAGGATTGTCAGAAAACGGTTGATGTATGAGCTTCACGTCTCAGTGATTCTTCAAAATGAATAGGCTTTGCGAGATAGTTCAGACCCGCGACCAGCCTATTTCCTTGAATAATTTACTTGTTGTCAATTTGTACAGCCACATTACACATGCAAATTGTGCTGCCTGTGCAAACACCACTTGGAGATGATAAAAACAAATTTACGAAGGCTATAGAAGAAGGATTTATTTCACTTTCTCACCCAGGTCAAGCAATACATGTATCTGACGATTGTGTGTACCCAATTTTGTTGTAATTATATCAGCAAATTATTCCTTATAATCTTATTATTTTTAGCAGTCTCCTTGTGCTTGGGATAATTAGCTTTCTTCACTCAGTGTAAAAACAATTCAACTTGCCAGCCAGGTAGGGCATAGCTCCATTATCTGTTTTGGGTTTAAATTTATTCCCTATATTCTTGGACACTTTGTGTAAATTAAAAATTTCATAGTCCCTAATACTGTACACGCTGTTCATTCAGTGATGAATTAAGGCCCCTAAACCTCTCCGTTTGCTATTAGATATCTCACCCACTTTATATGTTAATCTGTGCTAATGAATTCCACAACCCCTAGCCACAGTGAGATGACTAAAATTATTACCACTTACAGAGATATGCCTTTTTCATTTAAAGTTCAATTCAAATTGCTCGCATAAACAGTCTGCCACACAAAGATACCTCCTATAAAGGAGAGTTACTTACCTATAAGTAGAGTTCTCTGAAGGTAGTATTATCTTTGGATGCACATTCCTGGGTCACGTGCCCTCAGGTCTGTGGCATGAGGGGAGAGAATTCATCGCTGATGGGCAGGTCTTTCTTTCCTTGGGGCCCTTCATTAGCTCTGTGGCCTGTATTCCTGAGGGTTATTTGTGCCACACCTCTTTACCCAACCAATCCTTTCCTTAGCACAACAGACCCCAAGGAAATAGTGGGGTAACAGAACCACCTAATGAGAATTGTAGGACTGGTTATCATCAATGATGGCTGATGAGCCAGAAGCAGCTTCCATCTTTATAGAAGTTACCTATAAAATAAAGTGCCCAGTAACTAAAAAAAAAAAAAAAAAATCCAGTTTTTTTAAACATATAATATATAATTTAAAATCTATACATTTTTACTTTTTGCAGAAATAGCATTTTCATTATGGAAATAATACATTCTCATTGTGGAATTCTCATAGTAGAAAATACAGATAAACAAAAAGAATAAAAATCATACATTCCCACCAATGGTCCCACCACCCCGTGACAGGCACAAGTGGTTTCTGGTATCTATTTTTACAGACTAGTTTTCTACTTAGATACCATCTTAAGATGACAACAAAATCACTAGTCTTATCAGGTCCCTCTTCAACCCACTCCAACCAGAGGTTCCAGGACAGGATGCCTACCTCCTTTGCCCCTATGTCTTCCACTTAACTCATTTTAAGAGTGCTGTTTGCTTTCTTTCCCTAAAGTTGAGTGATTCCCAGAGTTTTGGGTGCTGAGCCCTTTGCTCCTTCCACCTCTCTTTCCTCAACAGAATATCCAAGCAAGTTCTCATCCTGCTTTAGCCCTGATTTACTCTCTATAATTACCACCTTCTGAAATAATCTTCCAGAAATGATGCAGTAAGACACAGAGTGTAAAGCACAGTCTGAGGTCAGCCCCTGGGCCAGACCTCGCTGTACCTTGTGTACCTGGATTGTCTCAGTGGTACAGGTGGTGCTGCGCTCTTATTGCTGCCTCTGCATTTGATCCTCACAACTGCTGTGCAAGCTGGCAGAGCAGGTGCTGTTATTCCTGTTTTGCAGATGAACATCTAAAGTCTTGGAGGTTAAGTAACTTGCCTGGGAGAAAAGAATTGGTATCCAGGTCTTTGCAACTCCTGAACATGGGACTCTCCATTTTAATTATTGCTCTTAATTGTTGCTTATGATCTTGGAACTTAGGGCAGTTGGTATGTTTTCAGTATTTCTTCTTAAAGATGGATTCTTTCTGAAGGTAAATCTTTGGAAATCTTTTTGGTTAGGGATTCAGAGCTTCATACATCATTTTATTTTGAGGTTCCTTAATTATTTATTACCTTGAGAAGGCTATTTACATAAAGCAAATATTTTGCTTTAGGAGAGTTTATAATAGTCTACCTTTTATAGGATTCCCTGCTTAAAAGTCAAAACAACTTCTTGCGAATGAGAGTTTTCCAGTCTATGGTTAAGAAAATACTCACAGATTAACTTAATTCATTATCACACCTGGATGGAGTATGATCAGGGCCCAACTTGAGTCCTTCCCACTCTTTGCTTCTCTTTTTGCCACAGGGTCACTTATAGCATTACACACTCATGCAGTTAAGATGGCAAATCCCATGTGATATATAGTATGGGAATAACATCAACTTAGAGGAACATTTAGTACATTGTTTGAAAATGTGAAGCCGTCACATGGATGATAGATTGAGCAGCCTACAATTAACCTGAGTTAATATTTGGCAGAGCCAGATGGATAGCTCTTAACATCTAATCTCACGCAGAGTGCTTTATGTTCTTCATAAATAAAGAATAATAAAAACGAATATACTTGAATTCAGCATCTTCTCTGGAACCCAGTGTGTTCGCCTAATTGTCTTATCTCCATTTCTGAATTGCAAATGTGAGTTTGGTTGCAGCAAGACCAAGCCCAGAAAAACATGAAGTAGGTGAGCGTGGCTTTCTGCTTCTCAACCATCCTCATTAACTCCTTTCTTCCTCCTCCCAGTGTGCCCCGGCCCCTTCTTCTTGGGTGCCTTTGGCCTGCTAGCTCTCCTCTCATTAAAACGACCTCCCTGAACCCAGATGGTCATTCAGCTTCACTGCAGTGCAGTTGGATAATGAAGTTTACTGTGTTCTCGCCCCCAGGATTATTTTTGTTTCGATAGGGGAAAACTGTGGAGAAGAGATTTAGGGACCAGGAAGACGTTCCCGGTGGCTATCAAATGATGTTGTTTGGCTCCAAGTTCTCAATTGTTATGCACATCTTGGTTGTAGAATTGTTGAATGCCATGTGGAAGATCTGGGTACCTTTTTTGGTTTACTCATATACTAGATGGAGATAACAAGAAACCTCCCCGCTATGACTGTTGTGAGAATTCAATTAGTCAGTGTATGTAAAAGCACTTGGAATCGTTTGGCAGTTAGGAAAGACTCAGTTCATTTTTAGAGATTCTTCCATCCTCGCCCTTCTCTTCTTTCCTGGGGGAGGCAATGTGGTATAGGAGAAAGCATATGGGCTTGGGAGTTAGGTGATCCTAGGCTCAGATCTAAACTCTGCCATTTGCTAGCTATACGATCACGAGCACATAACCTTTTCTGAACTTTAATTTCCCTTAGTTTAATTTAGGGATAATCAGAGTATCATGTATCGCTGTCATGAAAATTAAGTGAGATAATGTGTATGTTATGCTTAGCATGGCGTTTTGTACCTAGCAGACACACATTAGTGAATTATTATTCATGCTAATAAACACAAAAGACATAAATATATTGAAATTCAACAGCACGATTTTTAAGCTATTGCCTCTTGTAGTCACTTAACTATGAATGTCAGCTTGTTTGCATTTAGTAAGAGTTTCTAGGCTTATGAACCATAGGTATCATTTCCTTTCTGTGAATATTTCCCCACTATTCAAAAAAAAAAAATTTAAAAATCCAATAGTATATATGGATAAAACATTTTAATGAAGTACTAAGGAGGTGTTAATGAGTGGATCGTGGCTATAAAAGAGATGTAATATATGGCAAAACATGAAGTATATGTTAATAAGACCTCAATGAACAAAATAGTAAACAAAAATAAAATCTAAAAATTCTGTCAAGCAAAATTATGGAGAAAGATCTTTAAGTTTTGATTTAAAAAATTAGTAAACATTGATAATTTTTTTTGCAGCATCTTTCAAGTCTTATTACCACTTAAAATAGTTTACGATTATTTCAAAATATATTTTAAATAATTCTCTTTATATCAGAAAAAGAATCCTATGTATATACCATATAAAATAATAATATATAATCTACTTTACAATAGTTTCAGAGCTGTTTCATTAAATTGGTTCTAGCTGTTTCCATTAAACTTCCTGAGTTTCCTCCTTTCCTTTCTCCATAGAATCAATGGCCAAATCCTTTATATTTGTTCCCTCTTTCTCATTTTTTTCCAGTCTATGCTTGGAACAGAAAATACGATCTTTTGTTTTTGGATTCAGTCCTATTGCCAATACTTTTTACTTTATTATTGCTACAGCCAACTAGCAGGCTTCCCTAACTACAGTCTACAGGCCTCTATTAATCTACCTTTTCAGAGAGAGTCTCCACAATTTGAACTCCACTCACCTTTCCCATTTTTCTGATGATGAAACTGAGGTTTGGAGAAGTTTAGATTGTTGAACACAGTCATACATATCTTTGTGATTTCAAAGTCCTAGGTCTTATCATTAAACCATGCTACTCTTTCCTAAACATGGCCGAACATTTTCCAAATTTTTCTAAGATAAATTTTCCTATCATATATACCTATTAAGCTCTTTACTTCCTCCTAAGGCCGTATATATCCTACCTTTACCAAAAAACTCTTTGGAATCCTGAACTGATTACATTGTTTTCTATTTACTGTGATCTTGATAGTTTTATTTTAACATTTATTTTAAGTTCAGGGGTACATGTGCAGGTTTGTCACACAGATAAACTTGTGCCATGGTGGTTTGTTGTACACATCATTTCCTCACCCAGGCATTGAGCCTAGTACTCATTAGTTATTCTTCCTGACCCTCTCCCTCCTCCCACCCTCCACCCTTCGATAGGCCCCAGTGTGTGTTGTTCCCCTCTATGTGTCCATGTCTTCTCACATAATAGTTTGTTCTGATCTCAATATAGCACTTAACAGTTTTTTGCTTTATATTAAAGTTATTTACTTCTGTCTGTATCCCCAACTAGATTTTAGATTCTTGGATGGCAGGGAGCATGTCTTTTCTGTCTTTTTAAAAAAATTTTGTTTTCAGATAAGGGTTCTTAGAATTATCTGTCATATTTAATTATCCTCCCCTTTCACACAAAAATAGTGTTCTCTAAAGTACTTTGACATCAATAGATTTTAAGTCAATGTTAAATACATGGAATCAAAATTTTATTTTAGAGGAGAAGTGAGGTTCTGTTTTTAAAGAAATCTAAGTGTGTTTTTTCTGTTCTAATGGCAATTTTTAATGAAAAACAGCAATTATTAATTAGGTCTTCTTACATAGAATAAATTTTCTCAACAAGGATATATTCTGTATAGCTAAGAAAAATGTATGCCAAGTTTACTCGTTATTCATCATTTAAATATTTACCAAGTTCCCAGCATCTACCACTACAGATAATACAGTTGTCAAAGTGGTACTGAACATAAAATGTAACAGTCCTTGATCTTAAATAATATAAACTAAAATGAATAAACTCTAACAACAACAACAACAATGATGACGAAAAGACTCCATGAAAAACACAAGGGATGTTTAAGGAGGTATGTAACTGTTTGAATTACAAACACACTTCCCAAATAAGCTTCTGTGTTACCAACCAACCTTTCCACACATAATAACTGTAGACTTTAGAAAGAAGCAAAATAACTGTTCTAAGGCACTGGAGAAGAAACAAAAGCAGGCAAACACTGGAGAGGTTAGATACTCAGAAGAAGTGGAAGGCAAGGGATTAGTTTACCTTTTTTTTTTTTTTTTTCAAGCTTTTATCCTGAGACCAGGTCATAGCCAAAGCTGGGTAGGAAGGCTAGAAACTGAATAGAAATCTTACTTGGGGAAAGAGTTTGGGTCAATAACAGCTGCTAGAAACTGAACTGGAATCTTGAAAAGAAGCGAGGCAGAAAGGGTGAGCCTAATTTCTACATATAAGCTATGTACTAATCTTTGGATGACCGTTGAATTATGCAAGTGAGGGGCAGACTTTAAGGAGCCCAGCTAAGGCTAAAATAACTGAGCTTAGCTTTGAACTGCCACCTATTGCCAGGGAGACAGAGCTTACAGTTTGGGCTTAACCTAGTTAGGTGTCTGCTTAAAAAAAAAATATATATATATATATATATAAACATTTTTATATACATTATATATTTATTTATATATAATGTATATTCATTTGAAGAAGCATAATAAAATCCAGAGTTTCTACAACATATCCATCACAATTTCTAGCATAAAGTTCAGAATTACTTGTCATATAAAGATAAAAAAAACATGAAGCAGCTTTAAGGAAAAAGAAAATCAATAGAGACTAATTCTGAGATGACACCAAAGTTGAAATCAAAAGATAAGAATTTAAAAAATAATTATGCTTCAGGACTGAAATGAAAATATATTATAATAATGAAAAGATAGAAAACCTTAGTTGGGAGATATAAACTATAAAAAGGAAATAATAGAAATTCTAAAACAGAAAAATAAAAT